AAAATGAAAAAACAGCCATTTTTCTTTTTATATCCAAGTGAATGAAATTTAATTTTTCTAAATAAAGCTGATTTTCATGTTTGCATTGTATACTGAATAAACAAAAACAAATTAAGACAAAAACGAAAAACGACCCAATATTCGTTTTATGAAACCGGAAGTTGTCATATTCAAGCGCAAAGAGCGCCAAAATTGTGTTGTTTACACTAATAGATCCATGTGTTTACATCTTGAGCTCAACGGAGCAGTATGATGGCATTGGACCCGTACTATGATAGTCTGAGAAAGTTAAATTTTATGCAGTTGCTGACTTTTGGGGTTATTAAACGTTAACTAGTTCAGGAGACGTGCAGATCATCAACACCAAGCTTTGTGTGACCGTTGTAAAAACTTGCTTCAAACTGCTTTTGTTCATAACTATTATTGATGTTTAAATAAAGTTTTTATACATGTCCTTGTCCAAACATAATCTTTCAAACCATACTCACGCATATAGCTAAATCTCCAAAAGTGGCAATGTGAGCGCAAGCAGCTGTGGTATGCGTCCTACGGATCCAAGTATGCCGTTTGGCACATTTAGGGAATTCCTTTGGATTATGGCAGGCAAACGCCATGGTGTAGGTTAGCTAGTGTGTCTGGGGTAACGGTAATACGTTCTTATACCAAGATTGGCAATCCCTTCGCTGTGATGCGTAGGTGTTATGGGGGTGCGTAAATTTATCCCAACGGCTCATAATTTTCTGCGGCCAATCAAGGGGACCAACAAACTTCCATCTCAAATTAGCAATGGTCTAATTACGAACTGGGCAGGAACAGGAGAAGGCACGAAAAATGATGCTTAGGATAGATCTCAATGGTATCTCATTATTTTATCCACAACTACTGTCTCTCATCCTAACTTCAGTAGATAAGTCTCTTGACTAAAAATAAACCATCAATACTGTTAACCAGTGATCAACATCTTTAGCTCAGCACCCACCCATTCAAAAGCACCCTTTGACTCGGAGCTCCATGCGCTCTGCTGCGCGCCTGGTAACTTTTACGCACGGCCTTTTTCTGAGCGGTTTTGGGGCACATGCGCACGGCACGTCCTGGGCACAGTGGCGGTGGCTCCAGACAATTTTGATTCGGGGGGCAATGGGGGGTCCAGGTCATTTCAAGGGGGGGGTCTCATGGAAATCAACAGAAAATACAGTGGACACGGCTGATACCTGCATATTACTGCTACTAAACAACAAAAACAACACAGCATATCAACGACTTTGTTTTTGATTAATTTATCAATTGCAGTTTGCAAACAATACCGTATCACATGAACTACTACACCACTGGGTGGGGATGTCAAATTAGGGGGCCAAGGCGTTTTTTTGGAGGCTCTTGAGAGGTTATACAGTGTAAAGGCGTCTCTGGTGCCCGCCCCGACACGTGTTGCTGCACAGGCAGTACTCATTGAAGCTGTACTCCTTACTATTTTATTGTGTGGGGAAAAAAGTGTGTTTTTGTGTAAACTGTTTATTTTGTATCTTGCTGTATTATTTATTCAATGTAAAAATAAAATCTATAAAAATAATAAAAACAAATACCGTAAACAAATGCCTTCTACGCATGGATCTCATAGACTGTAAAAATAAGATGGATCAACTATAATATCTTCTACGATTTATATTTTGATGATATTTGCGCTTGAATATGACAACTTCCGGTTTCATAAAACGAATATTGTGTCGTTTTTCGTGTTTGTCTTAATTTGTTTTTGTTTATTCAGTATACAATGCAAACATGAAAATCAGCTTTATTTTGAAAAATTAAATTTCATTCACTTGGATATAAAAAGAAAAATGGCTGTTTTTTCATTTTTGGTTTTTTGATTTGCAAACGAAAATAGAAAAACGACTTGTTTTTCTATTTATTATTTTCATTTCAGTGAAGAAAATCCAAATACCCACAAGTACACTGACCTATAAGCAATGAAAAAACCCAAAAGGGTCATTTTTGTATATTTCTGTGTGTCTGAAAATGCAAAATAGCCTTTTTTCGATTTTCCATTTCCCTTTTAAAATAGAAAATGTATTGGACGCAAAAGTACACGGACCCTTGTCATCCATTAAACGTTTTGCACTTCAGTGTAATAATAACTTGAAGTTCAAAACTTTTAACCAAATGATACTTCTTGATGTTTATGTTGTGCTTCAATTAGCATAATATACAGTTAATCTGTGTGTGTATGTGATATTACTAAAAATATATATTTTAAAATGCACAGCAAAAACTGGAGTGTTGAAATTTCAGGGTTAAACATGTAAGAGTTGATTTCAACTCTCAAAGTGTCATTTTAACACATTCTGATTAAAATGGTGTTCAGTGTTGGACTTATTTAACAGAGTTATTCCAACCTAAGCAAATCAACTCTGTAGAGATGTAAAGTGCATCTCAGCCGAGTTAACTTGCTTGATAGGCCCCTGGGCTTCAGTCCAGGTAAACCCGTGTGTTATGCCCCTGGGCTTTCAGCAGGGTGAACCCGTGCATCAATCAATAGTCTCCTGTGCGTGGCATGGTCAACCGTCGTTTATTTCGCTGCTGGAATCAGGAATGGATGCGGAGTTGGAGTTTTACACTAGAGGTAAGCTACAAAATCAAACTTGTAGGAACAATAACATTGAATTAAACATCTGCTGAGAATATTTATGTAACTTTGCTAAGCATTTTTTGTGGTTGGCACTGGACAGCGAACGTTTGGATTTTTTTTTTAATGCAATGTTAACTTCACCACTAACGTTACCACTTGCTAAAAAATAAACATTAACAATAAAAAACCGGTTTCCTATGTTGTCCGTTGCATTTTACCAAGTCTCACGCATGCTTGAGAGGTTGTATAAACAAGGCTTCATATTTAACTGTCGAATATAGTTTGGGGCTAACGTTAGCACATGTTAACAAGCTAACTTGAAGTTCATGGCGGGTGCATGGCATCAGTCAGACTGCCAAATACTCCCGCTTCCCATTTCTCCGACCATACACTTGTTAATTTCTGCGTCCATTAATCTAACCTTAACCCTAATCCTAACCATAACCCTCTAGAATAAGTAAGGGATAAACAGTTCAGAGGTTGTTATGGAGAAATAAGCCCCGACAGGATGAACTTTGGCTCCAACACGAAGTGAGGAGTTAATTCATGCAATAAACCCCTCACTTTGCGTAGGAGCCACGGCTAGAGTGAAATAATTAGCCTAAACAATTGCAGTTGGGTGCCTGTGTGGCAGACTCCCTGTGCCACTGCACCGAGACGAGAGTGTCCGAGGCTCTGATCATACAGGTGTGGTTAATAACTCTGATTAATGGGTAATGTAGGTAATGTAGTGGGCAGTCAGACTAAAAAGGGTCAACTTTACTGGTGCTGTGTTGTGTTTGTTTGGTCGCTGAAAACCAGCTTTTAACAGAGGGGAATGTTTTAATAAATCAGTTTTGCCTCAAATGTAAATGTTAATTACGGTAGCATGTGCTGCAGTCACTACAGCTAGTCGCTGCCACGCTCTTTGATGAGCGTTTCCACTGGGCCTGCTGTGGCATGTTTTAACAGCCTCCCAGCAGCTGCTGAATGTGTTTAATCTTAGACATGCAGTGAAATTAATAATGAAACAATTTCTTGCATGATACACAACGTTTATGTGAGTGTTAAATAATTATTTCTTGCATGTTAAGTGTTTACTGACATTTGTTTGTTGTTGCATGTCTCAGAAAAATGCTGATCCAGGTTCGGTATTGCCAACAGCAGAAGTACGTGAAGTTGGATGAGGTTGATGGATGTTTTGATTTTGTGCAGTTCCATGACAAAGGTTTGTTTTTGTTTTACTTATGCTTGGTTTGATATAAAGGGCAGAACAACGCCCCTTTCTTTTAAGATTTGGACTGAAAAGGGAATGTATTTTATGCAGGGGATTATCTCTGAATTTGTTTACAGTGGTGGATTAAATTATTGAATGTGAAATGAGGCAAGATCAGTGCTAGCTTAAAGGTCCACTCAGATGTATCTTGTCTTTTCCAGTCATCGAGAGATTTTGCCTGCCACATGACGCAAAATTAGTGTACAAAGATGCAACAGGGACAGAAGTTGATGACATTTTCAGTGACCTTGTCAGCCAAGGCAATGTGACTCTATCAGTTTTCTCAAATGACGGTGAGAAATGTAAAGGGGTAAATTACATAATGCAATGTGTAAAACACTAATGCAAATTTATAAGTACAGAAATACAGTAAACAATTTCAATTTAATGTTTTCAGAATTAAGTCATTTAATACACTTAAAGGTGGCTCAAATATTCAATATCATTCTTTGTGGTTACACAACAGGGACATTCAGCCTGACTTTTATTAAATGGTTTAAATGTCATTTTAACTGACATAAATCCAACATGAATACCAAATGTATTTTTGATTAATCTAATTCATGCCTTTAAAACAATTTCTGAAAATATTTCTGAATTGCCTATCAAGACTGAGAATCAATTGATTAAATGAGTTGAGTCTATGGTGTGCCGTTGGCTTGGTTAGATCAAAAATCTTCTGACTTTTTGTATACTGCAAATAAACACCCCACCCCCCCTTTTTTTTTTCTTTTTTTTTTTTTTTTTAGAATTTTCCGATTGCTCCTTGTCCTTTCCATCCGATTATTCTGATTCAAGCTTCAGTTCATGTGCAAGTACATCAACTATACTCCTAGATGAGGTTCCTAGGAAGAAACCAAGACTTGAGGGCCCACTTACTGCAGCATCTGCTAGAAAGGTTGTGCTAAGTACTCACAGGTTTCTTAAAATCAACATTTGTCATCCTTAAACTCTAGAAAGGCAGTTTATCACATTTGTTTTTTTGCTTCTTTTTCAAAGTTGATTGAAGATGTCCTTGGTACCAGCTCAGGTGGTGAAGAGGTCCTCCAAGAGTATCACACAACACAAACTCTAACAGATGCTACCAGAAGAAAGTTGGTCAATATAATAGTGGCACACATGATTGATAAACAAGGGTATGTGTGTTCTATTTGTCTGTACTATCCTTTTTTTATTAACAAGTTAACTACTTGGCCCTTGTATTAATGCTAATTTGATCTTTTCTCAGGCAACTCCCCAGCAAAGCTGTTCGAGAAGAGTACGCTCTTGGGATAGTGACAGTGTTCCCGTCCCTCAAAGACCCATACTCCAAGAAAGGCTATGTATAGTCATTATTATTGTACTCTCTGTTTACATAATTTTCATGTTTTGTCAACATTACAGTAACATTTAGATTCTGAAATTTCACAGTAGCTTATGAGGTTGACATCACATTAATTTTGAATGTATTTCCATTTTAGGAACATTTCTATGATGCTGCAAGCAGCACCGGATACATTTCTTGGCGTCTGAAAACGATTCAGAGAAAGATTCGAAGAGGACATGCATCTACAAGTAGCCCCACTGGCTTTTCCCCAGGAGGAGGTCAGTCTATCTATCTATCTATCTATCTATGGCACTATCTATCTCTACGCAACTGTCTTTCTTTCTCTAAGTACCCCTCATTTTTCTTTCTTTCTTACAACTTCATCTAGGATGTTTCTTGTTTTTTTTCTTGAAAGAATTGTGTGCTTTTTTTCAGGAGGCCCAAATGTGCGCAGGTCCATTGTTGTTGACCAGCAGCTTGATGGGGATGCATACCAGGAAGCCATCTTCTTGCTCAACCATACAACAGACAGTTCCGTAATTTTTCTGAAGATGAGAGAGACCTTTCAGAATCGCCAAGAACTCATCCACGACTCAGACAAAACTCAAGATATCTTCTCCATCTTCCCAAGATTCCTGGATACAAAGGGATTGGTAAGTATGAAATGGGATTTTTAGAATGCCTTGAAATGTGCTGAATGTGGTAGTAGTACATTTGCTTTCTTATAGATGAATCAAGACTTCACACTCCTGTTTGAAGAGGAGGTTTCCAACCTGCTGCTCCAGAAATGGGATCCGTTCTTCAGAGATAACGTCATCAAAGAGGCCAAGCGGCTCACCCCAACACCTGAGCTGCGCCGAATGCTGCAGGCCGCAGAGTCTCCAGGAAGTGAACTTGACGAGGCACCAAGTGAGTTTTGTTCGATAGAATTTGTTATAAGCAATTACAGTTCAATAGTCTTGTGATTAATAAAGACCGATTGATTTTATGTTACTGGACTTCAATTGTTCGTTCATTCTGTGTATTTCTTTTTCTTTAAAAAAAAAAAAAAAAATTCTTTAGCTGTCAGTTTACAGTTTATTGAAGCACATTTCAACTCTGTTTTTCACTGTTACATTTAAACAGCAGGATTTAAAGTTTTTTTCAGTCTTTTTAACATTTCCACTGCGTTTAGCCCTTTACAAAAGCCATTCCATTCTCAGCTCACAGGAAATGCTGGTTCTAGTTCTCATTAAAACTTCAACAATAACTTGTAAAATATTTGCAGTTAATTCATTCTTGTTACTCTCCATCCATAGCCTATGACCAAGAGATGTCCGCCCTGTTGCTGTTGTTGTACCTTCTTCCACCACCACCAGGGAGACCGAGGTTTCCAAAAATCAGTGCCTCTGATGCAGTCGAGAGACTGGTAGTCTTTCATAAGGTAATTGTTCCTCTCTTTGTTTGAACTTATTATCACTCCATCCACTAACAGTCTGACAGCTGAGCGTGGCCACTTCCCTCCCTTCCTCTCATTGACATTCAAAAGCAGGCACTGATCTGAGAAAAGCAGAAATAGATTCTGTTTCTAGCTCGCAATATCAAACAAAGTATTTGCCTTACAAACATTTAATACATATCACCATGTTCAGTAAGGTCATCTGACCCAATTAATCTTCACCACAGTTTGATAAGAGGTATGGTCCTCTTTTTGTCGGCTGTTGTTTGGGAGCTGGGTTGAGCTCAAATCTTCATGCTCTGCTCCTGCTCTGTGCCTTTGGCCAGCTCATTATCAACATCTAGGTACAGGTGCAGCCTGGTGCTTGTTAAGCTGTGTATAAACACAGCCCCACACACAGCTTAATCAGACTGATATACACAGCTTTTAACATGTCAAGTCTGTCTGTCTGTCCCCACTGTCCATCTTTTTGTTTTTCTTTCTTCTTTCTCTCCCTTTTCCTTCCCCTCTTTCTATCACCCCCTCTCTTTTCTTGTCTACCACATTTCTTTCTTTCTTTCTCTACCCCCTGTCTTTTTCTGTCTTCTGACCTCTTTCTATCATCCCCTCTCTTTTTATTCTGTCTTCTCCCCCCTGTCTTTTTCTTCCTTTTTTTCCTCAATCTAACCCCTCTGTCCTTTTTCTTTATCTACCCCCTCTGTCTCTTTCTTCCTTTCTTTTTTTGTTTCCCAACAACATCTTAAACTAATTTACATGCATTTCCTTCTGGAAATGCTTTTTCTAGTTATGACTAATTCATAGTTTTCATGATGATTTCTCATCTCACCTTGATTTGTAGGATGTTTGAATAATGACTTCTGTAACTCTATTTTCTCTGACTTGCCCTGACTCTGTCCAATATCCTTGTGTCAACCCCAGTCTTGCTGCAGCTTGGAGGAGCATCTCCAGAGTCAGCAGAACCAGCAGCCATATCTCCTGGCGGTTGGGCGGCAGAAGAGGAAGATCGACAACTTCTACGTCTCCATCGACAAGCATCTCATCCCCTGCCAGGCCACCCGCTCCATTGGGGCATTTGATGAGCTTTTTAAAGCTCATTTTGTCTTCAATGTCTCCTATGATGGTGCACTTGTGAATTTCTACACCTTTCTGCAGACAACTGTCTATAACATTGATGTGGGAAAAATGAAGGAGTCACCAAGAGTTCGTGACTTGAGAGCCAAACTCCTTAACCAGGAAGTAGTTGTCACAATCTGAGTAAAAGGCAGGGCAGTTGTGAGCTAAATGCTAACATGTTTTATGTGCAAGAGTGTTTATCCCAGCAGTCAAGAGTTGATTTCACATTTAAGAGGTGAACATGGGAATTATCCTGGACCTAAGTTTAAACTGTTCTGTTGTCAGCCGAGCTGCAGACTTCAGTTCCAAACTTATGCTGGCTTCAGAAAGCACCTCAATAGTGTTCACAGCAATGTTCAGCAAATTGCTTCAGATGTTGCTTGCTCTTCTTGTGACCCAGTTTCAGATGCTTTGGAGGACCAATTTCACTCAAGTCTTCCTCAAAGTTCTTCCAGTGTTCTTCCAGTGTCTAGTTCTTCCAGTGTTCCAGAGACCAGTGATTCAGGACTTACCAGAGACTTATCCAAAGAAATGTGTGTATCCATTGTGGCCAAACTGCAGGGTAGTGGCATTTCTAACAGTTTGGTATCCTCGCTTGTAGGAGATTTGGAGGAATTAACAAGTGAGCTTCGCTCAGAAGCGGAGCAGGCCGTTATTTCTGCTTTACCCACAACTGACCCCAACATACCCAGGGCTTAAAGTTTTCCGGCACCGTGCCGGAAATCCGGCGTGAGAAAAAAAAAAAAAAAAAAAATCCCTTTTTTTTTTTAATATATATATAAATAAATGATTTCTGTCATTTGAAAAAGGTTCAAGTGTGTTCTACCAATTGTATGAAAGGATTGCATGTGTATAGCGCAGGGATTAAAGAGTTCCGTCTAAGTGACGGATTTCCGTCAAATGAAATTGGTCTGAAAAAAAAACAAAATATATAATAATAATATAATACACACAATGAAATGGTTAATTATAACAAAATATATAGTAATACGTGTGAATCTGTTGTATATATCTAGATATATATTAATAATTTGAATATAATTGTATTTATATGTATATAGAAATAAAAAGTAACGAGTGGGCCTTGAACGTGCCGTGGCTAGCTACATGAGCGCTCCGTAAATGATTCAAGGCAATGGGACGTAGCCAAGTTAGCGATGGTAACACGGAGGTGAAAGTTTCTGAAAAGTGCACGGAGCTTTTGAAGAGGACAAGGAAAATGTAATCCCGAACGGAGCAATAACAGCCAGCAGCCCGCGGACCGGTAAACTGGGCGCGTTATCAGAGGAAAGGTAGGACATAATTAACGTTTACCAAACGCAATGCTTTTTTATTTAACGGAATGTACAATATGTACTTTGCTGTGACTGGGAATGGGGACAAGCATGTCTTAGTAAGTAATAGTAAGTAAGTAAGTACTTACTTACTTACTTACTATTGCATGTCTTGGTGAGCTTTTGATAATATCTTGGTGGCGATCCCCATGCAAAACTGCGTGATAAAAAGAGCCAATCAACGAGAGCGAACGGAAGAAACTCGCTGAAGAAAGGTGTGTGTTAGCAGGTCTTATATTCATTCATCAAAGCTAGCCTAGCATGCACGCACAATCACAATCATGGATAATAATGATAATAATAATAATGCATCGGTTTTATATAGCGCTTTTTTGGACACTCAAAGACGCTTCACATGTGTCATTATTCTTTCACTCCATACACGGTGGTGATAAACTACTACTGTAGCCACAGCTGCCCTGGGGCACACTGACAGAAGCGAGGCAACCAGTATGTGCCATCGGCCCCTCCGATCACCACCAACCATTCACACACACACACACCAGACTCATTCTAGGCAATGGGGGTGAAGTGTCTTGCCTAAGGACACAACGGCAGTTTGGCACTTTACAGCCGCAGCCGCCCCACTCGTTGTTTATGGAAGAAGGAGCTGTATAAGTTGCTGTTGATAACGGAGTGAAAAATAAATGGAGGTGGGCATGGCTGGATGAGGTGGAGACGATGGGATTCTGTTGCTTCATGGTGCAAAAAGATAAAGGTGTCCGGTGCTTGTTCGTACTTCGCTATTATTATTTTTTTATATGGGAGTAATGAGAAAACAGCTTTGGATTCACCACCAGCTCAAAACTGCGCACTTGGCAGCTGTCCGTGCACTTTCCCACACTTCTTTACCTGGTGCATCAGATTCAGCGACAACTGAGACTAGGCTTGCTCTGGTGGACTGTGTCTGTGACCTAAAACTATCTGTGGCTTTATCGCAGAAAATAACCTGTCGTTCAGAACCATCACTACCGCTGGTAGATTTAATTATCATTAATCATTTGCAGTTGATAAAACTGCGCTGTGCACTAGCACCAAGTTGATAGGGAAACCTTTTTCTTAAACATTGAGTGTCCACAAACAAATGTGGACAGAATTTTGAATGTCCTTTTTAACATGTTGGGCGGAGGGTTTAATGAGGAGGCTACTTTGTCTGAACAATTAAATAGAGGGAAAAAACCGCATGGTCCAGAGGAGGAAGCAGCTGGTGCAGAGGAGAGTTGTCTGGCTGGTCCAGAGGAGGAGGCAGCTGGTGCAGAGGAGAGTTGTCTGGCTGGTCCAGAGGAGGAGGCAGCTGGTGCAGAGGAGAGTTGTCTGGCTGGTCCAGAGGGAGGAGGCAGCTGGTGCAGAGGAGAGTTGTCTGGCTGGTCCAGAGGAGGAGGCAGCTGGTGCAGAGGAGAGTTGTCTGGCTGGTCCAGAGGAGGAGGCAGCTGGTGCAGAGGAGAGTTGTCTGGCTGGTCCAGAGGAGATGATAAAAAGGCTGCAGCCCCACCGCACCAGCCAGACAACTCTCCTCTGCACCAGCTGCCTCCTCCTCTGCACCAGCTGCCCACTCCTCTGGACCAGCCAGACAACTCTCCTCTGCACCAGCTGCCTCCTCCTCTGCACCAGCTGCCCACTCCTCTGGACCAGCCAGACAACTCTCCTCTGCACCAGCTGCCTCCTCCTCTGGACCAGCCAGACAACTCTCCTCTGCACCAGCTGCCTCCTCCTCTGCACCAGCTGCCCACTCCTCTGGACCAGCCAGACAACTCTCCTCTGCACCAGCTGCCTCCTCCTCTGGACCAGCCAGACAACTCTCCTCTGCACCAGCTGCCTCCTCCTCTGGACCAGCCAGACAACTCTCCTCTGCACCAGCTGCCTCCTCCTCTGGACCAGCCAGACAACTCTCCTCTGCACCAGCTGCTTCCTCCTCTGGACCATGCGGTTTTTTCCCTCTATTTAATTGTTCAGACAAAGTAGCCTCCTCATTAAACCCTCCGCCCAACATGTTAAAAAGAAAGCATACAGATAATTCACACCCTAAACAAAAGAAAAAGAAATGAATATTTCAAACAGTACTGTTAGCATTTGTGTTGTTTTGTAATGTTTTACCAAATCAAAGTCTATTGAAAGTTAACACAGGTGCTTTATGAAGACACACAGCACAAAGCTCATTTGCACTTTAGTTTCATTTATTTGTGTTGAAAGCTAAATGTTTAATAAGTAGAATTTAAAAGTTAAGGTTTATTTATATATTTAAGGTTGAATCTGGAAGTGTTCTTGTTGCCTGATCCAGTGTTTTTAGTTTTTGTATGTCATATCTGATGTCTAGTTTGGATGTTTAATCAGTTTACAGTTTACACATAAAATGTTAGTAATAACATCAATAATAATTAAAAAAAAGAAAATAGTATATTCACTTACTGTGATGTGGTATGTTTTTTTTTTTTTTTACATTATTACACAAATCCAAACTAGGGGTACTTGCAGAAAGGTCTTGGCAAGGTGAGGCTTTACATTTAAGTAACAATTCAATAGTCAGATGATGTATTTATTGCCAACAACTGATGTTTATAATAAACATCAGTTGTTGGCAATAAATAGATATAAATTATATGTATGAGCGTATAAAGGCGCTTATAAAAAACGCTTATTAGTGATCATTCTATGATTCATATAGATGGTTCAGGCTCAGGAATTTTTTCAACTTTAACCCATGCATACCTGTCATAAATGAATGTTTTGAAAAATTTGAAAACCCCTTCACTGATCTGAGTACAGAATGGAAACGAAATAAATACTTCAACCAAAAATGGGGAGTTGTAGAGCCTAGAGAAATGACACTTGGAGTAAGATATGACACCAGGCACAATCAGAAATCCGGTACATATGATCAAGTACCTGTGAAGGATACTTTCATATATGTTCCTATTTTCGAAACCTTGAAGTTCATGTGTAGAAATCCAGAGATTTGTGATTTTCTAAAGACAGAGTGTAGCTCAGAGCCTGATACTTACCATGACTTTAGTGACGGAAGTTACTTTAAAGCTCATCCCTTGTTTTCAGCCAAAAGACTTGCATTACAAATTCAGGTATACTATGATGATTTCGAAACGGCCAATCGGCTTGGCTCAAAACGCGGAATCCACAAGATTGGCTGCATTTATTTTGTTTTAAGAAACCTGCCTCCAAAATTGAACTCTATTTTGATGAACATTCATTTAGTATCACTTTTCCATACGCCAGATCTGCAAAAGTATGGTTTTGATGCAATACTGGAACCACTGCTAAATGATGTGAAACAACTGGAAAGCCAAGGGCTAAGTCTTCCATTTTCTGATGAGCAGGTACATGGTACAATCTCACAGATCACTGGAGATAATCTGGGAATGCATTCTATTCTTGGTTTTAACGAGTCATTCAGTAGCCGTCATTTCTGTCGCCTATGTTTGCTTGATAAAGATGATTGTCAGACAGTGTACAGTGAGGATGATCCTAAAGTGATCCTTCGTGGGAAAGATATGTTTGACATGCATTGCCAGTCTCTAAAGGAAAATCTTCAGCTGAAATCATTGTATGGTTTGAAAAGAAATTCTGCACTAAATTCATTGCAGTATTTCCATGTTTGCCATAACTACTCGTTTGATATCATGCATGATCTTCTCGAGGGTGTAGCTCAGTATGAGATCAAATTGCTTTTTGAGTATCTCACCCACCACTTCATATCACAACAGAACTTGCTTTCAAGGATTTATGGTTTTGATTACGGATTTCTAGAACGAAAGAACCGCCCCACGAAAATCGTATTGGACAGTGCTGGAAATGGCATCGGCTTGAACTCTATCCAGACATTCTGTCTTGTGAAAAACATTCCACTCCTGTTTGGGGACATTGTTCCTGCAGAGAACAGACACTGGAGTTTGTTACTGTTACTGTTACAAATTATGAACATAGTCTTTTCACCTTCTCTCACTCTGGGCATGACTGTATATTTAAAAAATTTGATCCTTGACCACCACAAATTA